ATTGATGAGCCGTAAAAGCTTGTGAATATTATGCCCAAGAGATGTGATATAGTAGTCAAAAACAAGGCTGTCAAATTTAATGTTAATCATACATGTAGCTACAGACATATATAAGATTCACTGATTATGATGAACGCTATAAATGTTTATAAACTTGAGTTTTTGTATTCTTTTCACTGTTTGTTTCTACTGACTTTAGAGGTTTAATTTATAATAAATGAATAAACAAATATCTTTAATACTTTTGTAATTCTTTCTGTTTTCTCATCCACTGTACGTAGAATAATAATGATAGTTTAAATTTATGAAACGGATTGAATTTCTTACTGAATTCTTTTAAAATGATGCATTTATTACGGTTGGAATTTACTTACTTTCTGAAATGTATTGCAATGTTTAAAATGCATCTTTGTATGAGTTGTTGTAGGACTTCTGTATCGAAATGTTTTATGCTTAATCTTCTATAATGCATGCCCGTGTACGCCGCAAATGTACCTTTGTTAATTACACGTATATTAGGCCATATATGCGCGAGCATATCGCAAATCTTCGGGGGAGGGCCGGGAACAAAACATAAGCGTGACATCTGCGTTTGAGTAAGAGTTCACCTAAGCAGAAACAGCAGAAACATCTTGTCTTTATTATATTCCTTTCCAAATTAAATGTTATATTTCCGTGATCTGCAAGCAAATTTTGCCGTATTTGAACTCCTTACATTCAAGTTATAGTGTGCTTCGAAGTTAACATCCCACATTCGTAAGAACAAACTATTATTTATGTTTTCTGAATATAGCGATATTAATTACATATTAGCGTAAATTTTCTGTGAACTTCTTTTATTTTCTTATGTTTCTCATGAAACACAGTAATATTTAATTAAAGAAAAATTTCTCTATTTCGCGAAAGAACATTTCAGTTTTTGATATGAATGGATATTTAAAATAATTATAAGCTACCCCAATTTAGTGTGTCACTGAAGGAGATTTAATCTGTATTTTACATTAAAAGTAATTAATACTTTTATTTGTTTATTCTAAATTATCAGGGGGTTCCTCGTAATCTTGGAAATGAATTTGATTTTTCTTATACCAGATTGATGATGTTGAATTTTAATGCTGGAATTTCATTAACCTTTAAAAACAGAAAACGATAGATTTTAAAATCTCAAACTAGAAATGATAAAATTTCTGAAATAAGAAAATATAATGCTTGAAACTGATTATTTTATCAAGACAAAACATAATGGATATCGTAGAACTTTCAAATCGAGAGAATTTAATATTCTAAAATCCGTAAAAATGTTACGGTTTTGAACGCCCATAGAATTGCATTCCTGTCCAGCGGCTTAGGAGTCAGCCTCCGTTAACTCCAATATCAGAGCGCGGAACTTAAGCGACTACTTCAAAATTTACCTCGCTTACATTGTACGCATTGACAAAAACTAGGCTGTCTTTGCAAATATTGCAATAACAAAATTAAGATGTGTATATTTCCTAATATATTTGCTCAGCAAACTTATGCTAAAGTTGATATTCTATTCGTGCAAAATAAATAAATTAATTAAAAAAAAAGCAAAAAATATATAATAAATACAAACTTGGAATGATAAGTAAAATGCATTCATTTTCCATGAAAATTATGGATTAAATAACAAATAGGGATTATTTAAACAGAAGCCTGTTTTTGGAAGGTTGCTAGGAAACATTTGAAATGTTTTTGATAAAGAGATGCTAAGCTGGTAAATTGATTTTATAATTTGTCAACCAATTATTGCTTGTAAAAAAATATGCATAAGCTTAATTACTGGGATTATTTGAAAAGAAAGTGCAGCGCTGTTAAATTATCGGTTAATTTTTACGGAATAAAAGAAACCACTTTCGTTTATTAATATCATGCCATTCATTAACTAATTTACAATTTAAATTCGTGCTGACAAGTTTTAGCTCTCGGCTATGACATTTGATAACTAACTAATTACATAGTTGAAAAGTTAGGTCAGAGGTTTCATTCACTTCGCGAAAGAAAGCCAGAAGTAGGCTTCCTCCCTCCTAAAATAAAATATTAGCGGTTATTTACTTTTTCAAAATATTTAACTTTTGAATACGACCTAAGTTTTCCGTCTACTTGAATTCAGACATTTTCAATTTGTACTAGCTTCGCCTTAAGTATAAAGAATACGTATTATGTTCTGTAGATCTAAATGAAATCGTTTCTAACGCAATGCATTGACATACTCACTGTAGCAAAATTTACACCTTTATGAATTATGAGCTATTGCCAGGCAGGTGAAAAGGAAGCTTAGAATCAGAATACATCTAGTCCCTACTAGGGAGTACTCGACTGCAGTACCGATAAAGAAAATAGATGGGGGCGATATTCAAGAAGTAATACTGGCTTATTAAACTGCTGCGAAGCACATCATGGCTATTTACCTATGTTTCATTCAGTTCTAATCCAGCACCTCGGAACAATCTTTCCCTTCGATTTATTATTCCTCAACAGAACTTTTGAATGATTAGATTTTAAGGGCGGCATCCAGTCTAGGAAAACACTAAAATCACAAACTGTCATTTACCCGGGCTATAATCAGCGTGAAATCTTTTTCGCAGAAGGAAACAGTCTCTAATAATGACCACATCAAAATGGACGGAACATTACAACTGTCAAATATATAGTCCAAATTATCTTAGGAATTTTAAGAAATCCCAATCCAAATCTTCAGAAAATTTAGTTTTTCTTTAAGTGATTAATAGTAGCTTAACACTAAACAAGTCTTCATTCCCCAGAAGTTCATAAGGAAGTTTTCTCTCTACCTGCAGTATTTGTATGATTTCCTGCCTGATCCACGATATTTATCGAGCATACTTACATGAGAAAAATTGCTGTTGTTAGTAAAAAACGTCCGTAAAACTGATTTCAATAAATTGTGAAACAGCTTTATATGCCAAAATAAATAATTCGCATGTGATTTGCCTATATTTCAATCAAATATAGATTATATAATAAAAACTGATATTTATCTGCTTCAAAAGAATGTCGTCATGGTTGGTATTTTTTTTTTTTTTTTTTTCCAAATAGAAAAGATATATAAAATTACGTGAATTACTAATTTGTTTTTGATAGATCAAGTAATATAATCAATTTCCATGTTGGTAATTCATTTTGTTGTAATGGAAAGTATTTTATGCCGTCCTGTTAGTGGCGATTTATAATAAAATCCAACATTTAAAATCGAAATCATCGTCCTCTCACCCCTTCTAAAGTTACACATGCCTTTCTTGAGTCTATTAAATAACAAATATAATTATTGCAGAAAACTATAATAAATTTTTATCAAACTAGGTTAGTAACTAGTCAGATAAGTTGAGCGAATACTCAAGCAAGTAATATTTACAAGTTCAGGGCAAATGCTTTGTACAAATTTCAGAATTTTCTATGAAGCATTTTTAAAGGCGAACATAGATATACTGATAAATGGGCGTGTGATGAGCAAAGCAAAACCCAGTATAACCTTTATTCCGAAAAATGTCATATTTTAAGTCATCTTTATGTAATTAAAGACTAAGAACTTGCTTTTTGTTACGGTTAGTAGAAACCTTATTTCTCTTTTCCCAGCTGTTGCAGCATATGAATAATTTAATTTTTATTTGGCTCTTATAATTATAAGAACTTTCATCTGTAATTAAAGACCTCTTTGTGTACTCATATAGAGTTAATGCAATTCTTGGCAAAAGACAACCCAATTGTACATTACATAGTACTTCTGTAACCCGGTTCTACACTTAGCAATATAGCAACAAGTGGAAATCCTACAATCATTGAATGAAGCATTTCAGTTTCCAAAGCAGTAGCTGAGATAAAAATTTCGATGATATAAATGTTAGTCTAAATAATTTAAGAAAATTTTAATGAAACAAGCAGAATTTTAGTTTTAACGGAAATTCTATAACTATCCAAGAACTAAAAATTTTAAATGCAGTTTTAAAAGCATTTAGCTTCCTTCAGTTAAACTGTTCGTAATGCAAATATTGATTGCCTATTATTAATAATATTTTAATGAAAGCAAAAGTAATGAGACTAGTTGCTGCAAAAGTTGAATTTTTAAAACTTTGTTCTTGTACACAATAGAAAAAAATACTTACTTTTGCCAGTCCTTAGCAGCAGTGTAAGGTAAAATAAATGAATGAATGTAAAATAAGAAACATATATGTTTATTCCAGTTTGTAAGGCATTTCTTTTATTATTATTATTAAAGAAAAAATGAAAAAACTAGATTCAGGAACTTACATTCTGCAACGCAGTTTCTTCTCTCGTACTAATTTTTAATACCTTAACAGTGTTTTGAAAATTTTACAGAAATTAAAATATGATCTTCTTATCGAAATATTGTTTTTTTCCTCTCTGTTTCAAAATTCAATGAACAGATAACAATGAATAAAAATTTAGATCTAAAAATCGTAGTTGTTTGTGCCTAATGTATGCATAGCTATAAATTTAAGTAAATTTAACATTCTTTATATTCACACAAAGGGCCTCCGATAGGGCGGGGATGTATTTTTATAGTTCCTCGTTTAGGAAGCAGAAAATTCAAAATCCCTTTAAGTTAAAATTTTAAGCATACATCTATGTAGAGCTTTTCACTAAATTTCACAAAAAAGTAGTACAACAAATAAATCACTTAAATTATCAACACATACGAAACGAGAGCGAGAAATAAAGTAAAGCATTTATTTTTCAAATTCCTTGCTTTATAACGTTTAACATTTAAAAAATTCTTTCCCCAGCATCTCCGGTATATCTTATATTCTTTTGCATTTGCTAATATTTTCAAGAGTTTACCGGGAATGACAAATAAGAAAATTTATGTGGCGGATAAAATATAAATTAGGTGATTACCGTTGTTAGATGAAATGAGATTATCGATTTAAAAAAAATATATATTGCTTTACAAAAACACATAATATGCATTATGGATTTGATTAATTTCGAAACCTCCTCACTCGGTTTTACAGCTTACAGGAGGAGTCTGATAGTTGCAACTCAAATAAGACATCTCAGCACTTGTTGATTTATTCGAGCAAATTTGTTGATTTTCTCCTAGCCCTGTTAGAAGAAAATAAAATATACGTCATTCTTCTGTAGTTAATTCTCTTTAAAACAAAAGATTACCAAAGATTTCAATGTTTAGATCTTTGTATCCTCTTTCTCGGGTTAAACATCTTTCCTTTCCCAGGTTAGAAAAAATTCTTACGAAAAAATTTGACGCGAAGAAAAAATTCTTTACGTCAAATTTTAGTGATTATATTCAGTAATAAACTCTATTTATAACATTTCTAACACCAATTGTTTGTATTTATTATGTTTTAAGATGTAGGGTACGGAGAATCGTTTAAGATACATTACTGTATAAGCTACATTCATTTAAATTTCAAATGACAGGCTAAAATATTAATTACCTAAAAGTAAAGAATTCAAATTTGTCAACTTAAAAGACATTGAACCAATATATCGTGTTTACGTGTCTAAACATGTACTCATATTTACAGTTGCATTTAAATTTAATTTTGATGGTTTAAAATGTATTCTGACTTTTTTACACACTCTGCTCTTGCAGTTAATTAAGCAAACACTTGTGTCATTAACTTAATATTTTGAGTATCCGAAGAATAAACAATTTAATAAAGTTCAAAGTGAAATGAAACTTTCTTCTGTTTATGATTCATTTATTACTCATTGCGTAACGGCATGTTGGTGCTAAGCTTGGTGGATTAAATGGCATGGTTTCTTGATATAAAACTGAAAGCACATTTGCATTATCGTCAATTTATTCATCAGATTATTAATTTTCGTAAAGAAACCCGACAAATTATCAGAGTGACATCAAAGATGAATATAAATTATCAAATTTAGTATAATCTTTGCTAGAAATGATCTTTGTAAATTAAGTATATTTTTTGCTCGCTAATTATTTTTGTAAATTAAAATAATTAGCAACAAAAGATTATATACTAAATTTAAAGCTAATTGCTCGATAGTTATCTTTGTAAATTTAGTACAATTTGATAAATTTAGTACAGTCTTTGCTCGCTAATTATCTTTATAAATTGGATATATAAAATAATGAAACTTAGCCCAACGAACGATAAGAATTCCCCTGTGTAAAGCTAAGAAATTATTCGCTAATTTGAAACACATTTTGAATTACTTACTCTCAGTTCATGTATTTATTTCAATTAGTTGAATGTTCGCTGTTTTCCTTAATTCTTGATCCTATATGTCTAAGAAAAAGTTTAAGTCAATTTAAGGTTTGTGAACTCAAAATCTATTGGAAAGTTTCGAAATATAATCAAAGACGTTAAGAGAAAAGTAAATAAGAAGTCAGGATTCTTTTGATCTAAAATATTAATTCAGGAAGAAAAAAATTACTATAAAAGGCTGATTATAAAGCTATGAGATTTTATAACAGAATGTTAAGGATATTTAACTCAATGATCAGAAAATACATATTGTGCTTGGGATGTTTCAAGACATATGTAGCAAATTCTTCTATGTTTGAGGAATCAGTTTCCCTTAGAAAGTCCTTCACGAAGGCATCCCTCCACTTAGGCATATAGCCGTAGTGTGCTTTGCCATAATTAAATACACCACACCTTCTATGTTTGAGCTGGACAGAAGTTCAACAGTACATCTCTACATACATGTGACACTCTTTTAAAATGAAGTGCTCACGGTAAATGCATATACTTCCCTAAAGTCTAATGCGTGTAATTTCAATTTCTTAGTAAATTTAAATATAGTTTTCAGGTATTTTAACAAAGTTAAAATAAAGGAGTTAAATAATTACAAATTTTATGAAATAAAATAAATAAAAAGAAACACTGAAATCTTCAGTAACTCAAGTACTACAGACCCTCAGATGATTCAAACTTCAAATTTAGCTTTTTTTAATATGAAATAAACTTCAAATTTATCTTTTTTATCTGCATAGAATATCCAGAAATGCAATCCAGTTGTGCAAGATAACGCACGAAAGTACCTTTAACAACTGAAATATACCTACTGCTTAATTCTCTCCATCTAACACAATTAAGATAAATTATTACAGTATTATTATATTTTCCTTATTATATACATATCAAAATAAACAGAATTCAGATCTTAATTTGTTGTGTTAAAATCTATGATCATGATTTATTCCTAAAAGTTAACTGCTTTAAGTTTTTAGACTTAATCTTCAGTTTCTAGATACTTTCATGGGTAATTTAAAAATATGTAATAAACAACTTTCAGCAATGAAACTTCTAAAATAACTGTTCTTATATCAAGTCTTTCTCGTTTATTGTCAGAATAGGTTAGTTAAAAAAAAAAATTAAAGATAATAACAAAAAAAAAATTATCTTTGCTTTAACACAATTGGAATTTTATTTCCATTCCAACAGTGAAGTGAATATATTATTAAATCTCAAGTAAGGGATAAATGAACGTCTGATCATAAAATTATACACTTAAAAACAAATATTGTAATGCCTTGCAACACTTTCTCATTTTGCTATTTTCTAGTTCATTCCTGCTACTAAGGAATTCAAGAACAGCTTTTATATTAAAATTCAAATTGTTATTATTATTAATATTATTATCATTTTTAATGTAAGAGATAGGTTATGTATAATGTTTTAAGAAGCAATTTGCTAGAAAATTGAGCTGCATGATTCATTTTATCTCGGCAAGTAATTTTTTAACTATATTGAAAAAGATAACACATATCAAAAATAGATTTAAAAATTACAATATTATAATCCTCGAATTTCAGAATGCACTTATTTTTATCACATTAATTCTAGTCTTTAAAACGTCACTAAATATAGTGAAGCAATGTTGTAAAATTGAGTAATAAAAATACAGAACAATGTTGTGTCTAAAAGTAAGAACAAGAAAACAAAATTACCTGAAAAAGGCAAAGTGCGCCTCTAGAAATCGCAAGGCACATCAAAAGGAGTCTGCGGACTCTTCGGCGAGACTCTCTAGCTGACATACGACAAAGACCACATGTCCGATAAAAATCATGCAAGCATGTAAGAGCAGTCAGGGTTGTGTATGAACGTCAACACAAGGTTTATCAAGGATGAGTACGGCGACAAATATTTCAGTGTTCGCGGATTGGAGGCTTAGCACTGCACTGAGATGCAGTTGGTTGCAGCCTACCATGGATAGGCAGGGTTGCCACATGAAGAAGAGCACGTGGTCGCCAACGCATCAGTAAAACTCCGCCAAAATTGGCAACCATGACAAAGCCGGTTCTGCCTTAGTTTTCTTCGCACGTCCCCAGAAATCAATAGTTAGAAGACTTTAAATTAATGACATTAAAAAACAAAACTTTTGATTTAAACGCAAAATTAAATCGAAAACTTCATCTGTTTGGGAAGTTTTGCTCTTTTTATTTGATTTTATTTTAAGATTGAAACGTAGCCAAAAGAAAGAAAGTTATGTATAATGACTTTCTTAACAGCAAATAACTACCCATTAGGAACTAATTTTGCATTACAAGTTTCGTTTTATATTGCTGCAAGCGGCCTTCTCTGATCAGCATACTGATAGGTTGTCTCAGGAATATTTTAGTTGAAATGTTTCACCTTTGAAATAAAATTACTAACGCGTTATGAAAGAAGAATTAGAATCTTAAAGTACGAATCAGTTTTCTCAGTTGTTTTATTGAATAATTCAGTACATACGGCAGTTAATTCACATTAATAGCTTTTTAAAAATAATTGTTTTGTTACATTATCATAATATTTTTTTAACTCCTTTATGGAATTTTTATTATTTTAATTAATTTTGCGTAAAATTTGAGTTAGGCAAACAACACCACGAATTAAGATCCTAATAAAAAATAAGAAACTATTTCTGGTTTTCTTTGCAATAAGTTATGAAGTGTCATTGATAAAGAATGTAGCAACATGTTTGCTTTTAAGTTTGCTATTTTGCGTTTAAATGTTTTAAGTTTACATTTTATTGTTTATCTTGAACATCTGGTTTAAGAACATCTGGTTATCAATAGAAATATGCTTGTTACTACATCTTTTACACAGCTGATAACAGAATGGATAACCAATACTTCAATTTTCACCTTTTTATTCAGTTTGACTTTTGAGGTCCTTGAAGTGAGTCTTTCATCTTTAATTCATCATGTAAACAGTCTTAATAATATGATATTTATTTTTAGTTTTGCTTCTCAATTATGATTTGCATTTTTAAGAGATGTTAGAAATATAAAACATGTAGCTAGTGCTCTTAAGCGTTTTGATGATTGTTTAATTTTCGTGAAAATTTGACAATGGATTTAAATAGTTTCTTCATGTGTGTGGTGTGTGCAGCATAAAATTTTAATTACATCGTTCTTAAAACTTTAAAACGCCTTTCTTATGGCATCTCTATTTATTGTCTGCATAATTTTAATTCATCATTTCCAATTAACCATCTGTTCATAAATCTTTTTTTTTTTTTTTTTTACTTATTACGTGCTCCACCCTTAGGCATTACACGGGTTCATAAGTCTAACATAGTCAATTAAAGATAGCCATATTTCATTCAGACCCACATAATGATTACTTACTCATAACTAGCAACATTAAAACTCTTTTGAAAAAGTATACCTTCCTGTGAAAGAATCTCAGAGTTATTTTGTAGAGACATTAGGTATCTTTTGGAAGCAGGAGACATGAAAAATGAGCAACGCCTTCACCGGGAATCGAACCACGGACCTCTGGATTACGCGCCCAGCGCGAAGACGACTACACCACGATGGCACGCTAAAAAGGTGGGAGAAATACCTTATAATTTAAGATTCAGAATGATCTTATAGAAATTCTTTCTTTTCTTTCCTTACTTCCAAAGAATAAACTTGTGGTTTTTATCACTCTCAAATTTTAATTTGATTGCGAATCCCTTTATCGTTTAAGTTACTATCTCTTCGACTATTAATTTTTTTGTATCTTCAGCATCTTTAGTAATAAAATTTTTTCTTAAGCATCTCTCAAACGTTTATTTCGTATCGAGATACGTAGCGTATGGTGTTAGAAATATATTTCTTTAACAACATCTTGTAATGCTTTTGAAAGTAAATAGTAAGTGTAAATGTAAAATGGAAAAAATTTTGAAAGTAAATAGCAAGTGTATAGTGTAAGTGCTTTTGAAATTTGTCAGTTATGTGCATTAAAAATTTTATGAATTAGAGATGTTATAAAAAGTAAGAATAAATTTTAAATTACTAATAACTAAGCATATTGCTTTTACAGCTGTCGGCTAGTGAAGAAATGCACTATTTTAATTTGCAAGCTAAATTAAAAATCGTCTTACTGAACGTCAAACGGCAACACTTTTGAGAACTAACAGTTTACCAGGCCACATAGATTTTAAACGCTATGCTGAAGTAAAGTATCAATGATAAATATATAGAAAGATTAAAATTTATTGATTTTTTAATATAATATGCTTGATAAATAAAAAATAAATTAAATTATGAATGAATTTATTTTTCATGTATTTGAAATGTAAATAAAATGCATATTTTGCGTACTGGAGAGAGGGGGAAAAAGACTCATGTGTGCAAATGTAAATATTTGCCGCTATATATGTTCTTCGTGCAATTATTTTATGTACTTAGTGACAAAAATGCCAGTGAGTATAACTTGAGGCAATTTATTAAATACAAAACATAAGAAAAAGTGTGGGGAGCAAAATGCATTTTTTACGGAAAGGTTAACGAAAGACAGTAGTCCGTGTTCTCCGTCTGCTTTTTCAGTGAACATTAATAAGATTTTCATCATAACTGAGTTGGCTAATAAAGTTCCGTTCATCTTTTTTTTCGAACCTTTCCTTACATATCAACTGAGTTTCAGACGAGTATTTGGAAAAGGGTAAGTGAGCGTGACAGCACCTCAAACAGAATTTATTTATGAATTCAATTCGCACGCAATACACGCAAAGCTTTGACCTTGGAAAATATAGACTGTAATACATTACGTTGTTTTAATTCTGCAACTGATGTTCAAAACAGGATGAGAGCATTGTGTTTTAAGTTAATTTTAAAATGAAAATAATGTATTAAGATGCATATATATATGATACTTAAGATTTTCAAATGAAGCAGAAAATTATTTTTTGAGTGACTATGGAAGATCCAGCGTTTCTGTGTTAAAATGAAAAAAAAAAAAAAAAAAAAAAAAAAATAGGAGATATGGTTGGTGAATTACGGCAAAGCATTGGAAGGTATCTACCACGGACGAAGGCTGCCATCATGGAAAATTTCCTTGAATAAAGCTGCCATCATTGGAAAATGGAATCTGGTTTATATTTACGATAAACATAAAGAAACCACAAAATCCTCATGCAATCGACTAATTCATCCACTGAGAACATTTGAACGAAATACTGAGTTCAGCTGTTTTAAGCTCTAGTGAGGCGAAATGTTACTGAAACAGATTAACTGTAAAAATTCAAAAGAATCAGAAAAATTACAGAGTTGAATTTAAATCAAAAAAGCAACGTTAAGTTGGCGTAGATTTTGGAACTCTAGCCATTTCGAGGACGCTCAGATACAGTTTTTTTTTTTTTTTTTTTTTTCTTTTTCCAGAAGTAAAATTTTTTTGTAAAATTGAGAGAAATGACAACCATTTTATATAGGAAGAAAGAAGAAACGAACGGAGGGAGATGAAAACGAACGTAGCATCATCTGTTGAGGAAAATAAAAATGGAAACCTGAAAAAGTTAAGATCTTGGAATTTTGAAAGGAGGGAAAACCGAATTGCAGTTAATGCCATTAACTAAAGAAGATAAATTTTTGCGAATATGAAAGGCTTTAAGAAAATCTAGTTCACCAATTGAAGAAGTTTTATGGATAATTTTCGCAGAATCTATAACAAAATTATGATATAAATATCCAACTATGATTAGTTATCGAAGATATGTTTATTTCTTTTTTCCGAGCCTAAGTTTTGAGTTTATTGCCAAGCAATTTTAGTCCTGCTTTAGTTTGGCTACTATATGGAAAACTATATTGGCAAGATATGCTATAAACGCTCCACGAATATACGAAGAAAACTGAAACTTACCGATTTATTCAGATTTGACTTTGAATATGAGAACTCAAGTAATGGTTCTTGGGGATATTTTAAGCCAAATGTAAAGTTTAATGCTTCATGTGCGTAATAAACACGTATTAGAGAAGCTTCATGTGCCGTAAGGTGACACTTACAGCTTAGAGTCAGGTATTAAGGAAATGAAATAAGATACAAAAAGTTAATTGGAGGAGGGAATGAAATGATGAAGGTTTTAAATCATTTCCCATTTGATGCAAAGTTGAAACAGCCATATGGGCATAATAAGTAAATATTTTATTAGATTTAGTCGTCATAATATTTCCTCGGAATAATTGCATACAATTTTCTGAAATAAAAACATTAACCACTACTTACTCTGCATTATTAGACAAAAATTTGACATAATGTTTCATATCTAAAGCAAAATCAAGCTGGGAATGCATTAATTTTTGTGACTTAAACTGATTTCTGCTTTCGATGCAGGATGTCACAGCTGAAAAAATCAGCTAATTATGCTGCAATGGGGAAATGTATCAACAGAAACTGGATGTGTTACCTCATACTTTAATTTCCCTCTAAAACTGTCTTACTAGATTATTATGATTTAGAATACAAACTGTCTTATCAGATTATTTTATTTAGAATACAATCGTTATTATTCTTTTCCCTTTCTTTGCATTATAAGACTTTTAAAACTACGCTGAAGAATTTGTTGCTTATCTGCTGTTCGAGAATTGAGCCTGGTGATTCCATTTGTAAATTCACCCCTATCATTGCTGAACGCTACACAGAACCATGTGAAACCCGATATTATTATTATTATTATTATTATTATTATTATTATTATTATTATTATTATTTTAGAAGAATTGACCGAACTTCAAAACACATTTTATTGACCATACTTTATCACAAATAATTGCAAAAGAAGTTCCATGATGACTAAAAATTTGCAATTAAAACTAAGAGTTTCGACAGCGTTATCA